GGTATTTACTGTTATTTCTATTACTTGGCTTTTACTACATTTTTCACTACAACATCTTCCAAGTTTGTTCCTTGAGCACTCTCCCTTAGACCTAGATGGAGTGGCTGCTCCTTAGATCTGCTATTCCTCTCTTCTTTAGAGCTGTGCTGTCCTATGCACTAGATCCCTATAGCTACTGATCACTTGAAATGTGGCCCTTCTGAAGTGAACTGTGTTGAAATGTAGATTATGAAGACTTACCACAAAAAAACAAAACATCCAAATTATTCCATTATATTAGTTTGCTAGGGCTCCCATAACAAAGTACACAGACTGGGTGACTTAACAGAAATATGTTTTCTCAAAGTTTGAGATCCAGGTGTCAACAGGGTTGGTGCTTTCTGAGGTCTCACTCTTTGTCAAGATGGCCATCTTTTCCCTATGTCTTCATATCATCGTCCCTCTGTCATGTCAAATTTCTTTTTTTATAAGGATACCAGTCATTTTGGATTAGAGCCTACCATCACCAGCTCAGTTTAACTTAATCATCTCTCTAAGGGCTCTATGTACAAATACAGTCATATTCTGACATACAGCAGGTAAAAATTTCAACGTATGAATTGGGGGGACACCATTTAACCCATAATACTCATTATTAATTATTTACATTGGTTATAGTACACTTTATATTTATTTCATTGAGTGCCAAGTGTTGTTCTAGGACATCTATATCTCATTTAATTTTCTTAAAAACTCTATAAGTAGTGTTGTACCACTTTTGTGCCTATTGTATAGATGAGGACTTCATTTATAATGTAGTCTCTGCTCTCACAAAATAAACATTCTGGTTAATATTAAAACTATGTTTCCATTCAATAAAGAGAGATAGCTTGGAGCAGAGTATTCAAAAAATATTCCACTCACAGTCTGTCCATTATCTCCCAAACTCTCTTTTCCAAAGTAATGAGGTTTATTTTCAATGTACATGTCCTCCATTCATAGATAATCTCTCTTTTTTCTCTCTCAGTCTAAAGATTTTCTGCTTATCTCTGCTGTTGTTTCCCCTATAAAGGTGGAGGTGGTATTTACTTTTATTTCTATTACTTGGCCTTTAATACATTTTTTCACTCAACTACTAAAGGACATTGTTTTTGCAGCAGCAATTTGAAATTCTCTCTCTCTCTAATGTGCCTTTCGTTCTCTATTATTTTCACTTGTATGCAAACATGTTAAAATCCCATCTGAAAAAGTATCAGCCTTAATCCTATATTCCCTCTAGCAATTGCCCGATTTTTCTGCTCCCAAATTCTCCAGAATGTTCTCCAGTGAAGTATTTAATCCTTGCACACCACTCTCATCAAGAGGTCTGATTACCTCCACAATGCCAAGTCCTGTGGTAAATTCTCAGGCCTCACTTTACTCAATCTTTTAACAGTATTTTGACACAGTTGATCACTGTCTCCTTCTTGAATACTGTCTTCACTCAATGTCCAGAATGATTATATTTTTTATGCTCTTCCTAACTTCCTAATGAACACTTTTAAATTTTTCATTGCCAATTCCTTCTCATTTTTTTAAGTTCATTTTTTAATTTACAAATAAAAATTGTATACATTTATGGTGTACAATGTGGTGTTTTGATATACATATAAATCATAGAATGGCTAAATCAAGCTAATTAACATGTGCATTACCTCACATACTTACTTTTTGTGGTATGAGCACTTAAAATCTACTCTAATAGCAATTTTCAAGGATATATTTTTATGAAGTCTAGTCATCATGATGTATAATAGACCTCTTGATCTTATTTCTCCTGTTCCTTCTCATGTTCTGATCTTTGTGTGACAGACGTCCCTCAGTCCTCAGGTATGTTTCCTTTCTAATTGACCCGATCCAGTCCAAATATTTTAAATATTATCCATATACTGGAATCTCCCAAATTTATCTCCCCAGGATTAACCTTTATCCTGAGGTCCCCATTCCTACATTTGATTTTTGCTATCTCCACTCAGAGGTCAAATGGACACCTCTAACTTAACGTGTCCAAAATATTGCTTGATCAATAAATTCCCACAAACCCTACCAGAACTTCCCCATATTTTATTAAACTCAGTAAATGGCATCACTATTAACACCATTATTTAAGCTAAAATCCCTGGTACCATCCTTCATTCCTCCCTTTTTCTCATATCATACATTTAATTCATTAGCAAACCCTCTGAGCTTTACCTACAATATATATCCTGGATCTAACATCTCACAATATCCATTATTATTATAAGCATGGTCTAAGGAACTGGAAAGAAAGCAGAGAGTGGAAAGAGAGATCAGGTGGAGAAAAAGAAAGAATGGGGGGATGAAGAAGGAAAGGACAAAGAATCCTGATTATATCGTGTGTCTGTTACATACCTGAATCTATTCTGATGTCCATTCTCTTAGACTTCCCAGTTCAGCAAACCAAAAAAAAAAAATCTGTTTTATTTTTTGGAGTTTGAGTTCCACTGTACTTACTTGCAATAAAAAAAAAGCTTCTACTCTTAGTCATCAGTCTCAATGACTTAAAAATATACATGTGACTAAATCTACCTAACAGCCTAGTCTCTCAGTTGCTTAACCTCCTCATCTGTAACCTTGTCTTCCGCTTCATTTCTGCCAACCACTTTCATGGCAACCCCTCTAGGATCTTATCATTAAATATGGCAGCTCTTGTGAAATCTTGATTTTAAAACATTCTTTTCTCTGATCACCACATCCTTTGCTCCCAGCAAGTATGATCTGATGCCCTCCTATATTTCTTTGTTTTGATTGAGACCTCTAATATCAAAGCTCCTTCTCAGTATCTATCTCCCTCTTATCTTCTCTTCCTCCTTGCCCAGTTTAGATTCTACAGTCCATAGTCACAACTACACCCTATCAAATACCCTCAACTCCCTCTGGTACATACTTAACTAAACCATAATCCCATTGGAATTCAACTACTTACCTTCTCTATGCTTGTAGCCAAGTAGGTATATATTGCTGGAGGAAAATCACATCTCCAGTCCCACCGGATTCACTTTGAGTGCATGATTACTAATCTCTGACATTCAAAACTTTTGAGATTTTCTAATAAATTTGGTGTCCTAAGTTTTGTAATGACCTATCTCCAGAGTTTTTCACATATCATCATTTTAATACTTGAGAATGCCTCCATCTCCCTGTAACTAAGTCTACAGACCTAGTTACAATCACACCTTTATTGTTCTTCTATCCTTCATCTACAAGCAGTTGGGGACACCATCGCACCTACGATCACAGACCAATCCCTCCATCTCCTTTCACTTTATTGAAGACAGTGCTTTTCTGATGATCCCTTCTTCCTTGAATTAGCAATGCCTCCCTTTATACTACAGAACTCCCATCAACATTCAAATAAAGAATGTTCATTTTTATTTTTGTTTTTATGTTACATTTAATCAGCATCTGCTGTTAATGGCAGCATGGTTTAGTTTTTGTTTTTTGTTTGTTTGACACAGAGTCTCATTCTGTCTCCCAGGCTGGAATGCAGTGGCGCAATCTCGGCTCACTGCCATCTCCACCACCTGGGTTCAAGCCATTCTCCTGCCTCAGCCTCCCGAGCAGCTAGGATTACAGGTGTGTGCCACCACACCAGCTAACTTTTGTATTTTGAGTAGAGATGGGGTTTCGCTATGTTGGCCAGGCTGGTCTCGAACTGCTGACCTCAGGTGATCCGCCTGCTTCAGCCTCCCAAAGTGCTGGGATTACAGGCATGAGTCACCACGCCTGACCAGTTTGGTTCTTTTTAGACACTTTCCTCCTAGGATCTACAGTTTGCTTCTATTATCCACTACAGAAGGCCTGTGCTGATACTGCGATTGGATCGTTAATTCTTGCCATCATGTGACCTGCTGCCACTAGAACTGCAGAAAGTTTCTAACTAGTTCAACATATTGGGTATCAGGGAGCGGCTTCCTCTGACTCCCAGGTTGTAGGAATTTCTTAATTCTGGAGATGTTGCTGATTCCTGTTTAAAATGCCTTCAGCAGAGGGAAGTCAGAAAGAACAGAAGCATTGAGTTCTTCTACCATTAAAACAGCTTCTAACAGTTGTATGTCTGCCCAATTGAATTTGTTGCCAACGAGAAGATCCTCTCCATGTTCTTTCAAAATATTTTCAAAGATGGCCGAGTACCGGGTTTTAGCTTTCTTCATGACTGAGCAAGATTCTCCTCTTTTTCCTCAGTGGCCAGTGCCATCATCATCATCAGGTCCAGGGTGCCCTCAGCACACATGTTCATCCCGACTCTCTCCTTCAGGTCCTTCCCACAAACATTGTACTTAGCAGCAAGGTAGCTGAGGATGGCTGTAGTCAGTGTCAGCATCATTCCATCAATTTCAACCAAAGGCACTTGGCAGAAAGCAGGTGTCTATCCTTCTGCAACTTTTCATATTATTATCTTGTTTCAATAAATTCTTCTTCAAACTCTATTCCAGCTGCAGCCAGCAGCCAGAGGACTGACTCCATCCTGCCCCTGACACCAAAGTAGTAGAGCTTGGGTTTGGCTGCCATGACTCCTGGCTCAGGGTTTTCTGTTCAGCTATCTGGAAGCTCCAAGAATGTTTATTTTTAAAAAGAAAAGAGGCTGGGTGCGGTGGCTCATGCCTGTAATCGCAGCACTTTGGGACGCTGAGGCAGGCGGATCATAAGGTCAGTAGTTTGAGACCAGCCTGGTCAATATGATGAAACCCCATCTCTACTAAAAATACAAAACTTAGCTGAGCATAGTGGCGGGCACCTGTAGTCCCAGCTACTCAAGAGGCTGAGGCAGGAGAATGGCGTGAACCCAGGAGGTGGAGGATGCAGTGAGCCAAGATCACACCACTGCACTCCAGCCTGGGTGACAGAGCGAGATTCCATCTCTAAATAAATAAATAAATAAATAAATAAGTAAATAAGGAAAACCTTCGATTGTGCTTTCCACTCCAATTATCACCCAATTAATTTATCTGTTTCCTGTACCAAGATTGTGCACACTATCTATATTTACTCACGTCTCATTCTCTTTAAAATTAGGAAATATTTCAAACATACAAAAAATATCATGAACACTTGTGTATCTTCAACCCAATTCTTTGCCATCCTGGAATTTTGTGTTTATCATTCCTAAGCAAATTTTTACTACACTTATTACTACATATGATTGTCAAACAACCTAAGATTGTTACTGCATGTTTTTAATTTTATATAAATGCCATCACACACAATTTGTATCCTTCTGCAACATGCTATTTTTTAATATTGTTTTTGAAATTTATCCCCATTAATACACGTTTCTCAATGATTTTCACAGCTGTCTAGTATTCTGTGAGCATAGTACAATGTATCCATTCCATTGCCTAGCGAATGAACATTTAACTTATTTCCAATGTTTCTCTATTACAAAAGATGTCTCAGCGAACTCCTTGGGCATGTATTTTAGTATAAACACACACAATTCTTAGGCATGTATCTCATATATACACACATATATGTGTGTGTATATATAACATAAATATATATGTGGATCTCTGTTTTTGTCCCATTAATTCCATTGGTTTATTATCTGTAAAAAAAAAAAAAAAACCCAATTATTTTATTGCCTAACTTACTATGATTCCTGATAGGTCTTGAAATCTGTAGGGCAATTCCCTCCACTTTACTGTTCTTAAAAATTATCATAAACAATCTTGACCTTTTCCTACCATGTGAAATTTAGGATCTACATTGCATAAACTTTTTAGGACAATGACAGGAACACAATGAATACTGAGTCTTCTCTCTTTTGAGCACAATACATTTTTTTACTTATTCAGATTCTGGGAGCATATCCTTCAGAAACATTTTGTAGTAGTCTTCATAAGGGTGTCATATGTCTTTTCTAGATTTATTCTTAGGTATAAATATTTTAAATGAAAAATTCATCTTAGGACCTCAACAACTGTTAATCCAACTGATTTATGGACAGGGAACTGTCTATGAAGATTGCATCCATTTATAATAATATCTGTGATGGTTGTACTCTGCCTCAGATCAAGTCTTTACCCTCTTCTTCCTGCTCTATGCCTGGGAGGTTGAATTCTACAGATGGACATCATCTGTGCCCTCAGTTCTCTGACTTCTGATAGGGATTAACCAGAAAAGTCACCAGGAGGAGACTGAAGAGCAGGAGGACAGAAAGTTTAGGATATTTGTTTCCCAGTCTTTCCTATTCTCTGTAGTTCTGATAGTGGCTGAATTCTTCCAGACCTCAGCTCCTGTCAGGAAGCTACCATTCAAAGTATCTAGCACTCATCAGGGTCTGAGAATAATGTTCAGTTTCAATGACCAATCAGGCCTAACCATGGTAATGGCATCCTACTGTCCTACTGCTGTTAATCCTTGAGTGTCTCTTTATCCCTCGTGGTCCCCTTAACCTTACCGACACCTCTACAAATGGTCTTTTTATAATCGTTCTTCAGTTAAGTCCTTTTGAGTATGCCATCTGTCTTCTGTTAGGATTCTGACTAATATAATTTTACATTCTAAACTTAAAATTGCTAAAGAGTCTAGGTCTTCCTTAAATAGTTCGGCTTTGCATTTTGTTTTTACTTCGCTGATTTTCACCTACTTGACTACTGGAAGGGATGTCATAAACCTGGTATAGCTCAAATATTAACTATCCTGATCAAATGACTAGAATCTATAAATGTGTCTGGTTAAATCAACAAAAACCTCTCAAAATTTAGTAGTACTGATTTAAATATAGTTGTCAATTGTCGCATGTTTGAGTTGTGGTTGTTAAAGTTATCACCATGCTGTCGGTCTCATATCCAACTTTTTTCATTCTTTCCCCTTTTTAAGCAATGACACTTTAAAAACATGATGAAGGAAAACGGAATGAGCATGACATCGTATAAACACAAATTACTTGATTCCATAACTAGAAAAAGTGCTGGGGTAGAAAAAGACCGACAGCTTTTTCCTCTTTTCTGCCCACAATCTGTAGTATATCTGTGGGGAGCTTCCTGGTCTTTGGATATTTGTGCTTTTAAACCTCTGAAAGTTTTTCAACTGATACTAAAAATGCCTTTTAAAGTTTTAACTCATTTTAAAAATGAAATGAGCAATTGCAAAAGATTCATATTTCTTCTAAACACCTAATTTAAGAGAAAAGCCCAGACTGCTATTCCTGAAAAATTCCATGTCACTCTCAACCTTCCACTAATCAGATGAATATGTTAAAATCTCCTTCAGCAAATACGATTTTACCACCTGCTCACTTTCTCAAACTGAATGAATATACAAATAAATGTCACATAAAAAATGGCATTTCCAAAAGTTTAATCCATTCTGTTTGTTTTAGGTTAAAATATAAAAACTTTCATCCTTCCAAAGGAAAACTACACTCTAAATTAGCATAAATGAAAGTCTCAAGATTAGTTTTTAAATTACAAATCAACCAAAACAGTGATAGAGGGCCCTCTGCTGTTCAAAAACAGTAAGTGGAAAATGGAAATCATGTCCATTCTTTTAAGATCCCGCTGCCTCTTCAGTAAATCACAATCTTTCAGGAGGGGGAGTGAGAGACTAGGGTGTCATTTCCCAACACTACTTTTATAAAGATGAAGTAAAATTTAGAACTTAACGGCTGATTGGTTTTTAGTGGATATTTTTTAGTTGTAGATGGGTAAGTTAGGGGAATTGTGAAAAATAGCCATTGAGAAATACCATTGGAAATGTGATAGAAGTGTATTTTAAACTCTAACAACGTAGGATATGGTTCAAGATCTGACCAAAGACTAAATTTGGGCAAGAAGCAAAGAAGCTGCTCAATATATAATAATGGTGATGATAACAAATGTTATTAAATCTGATCACATTAATATCACGTAGAAAAAAATTACTAGTAAGATGTATTAAACAATTGCTCAGTGTTTTTGGTTACTTGTATCTGAATTCTTTGTTTTTTTCTTGCTCATTTACTCTTTTATTATTAATACCAATACTAATTATACTTTAGCATATGAACCAAAGTGTCCATTTCTCAGTTCTTAAGTTACACTTATTTTTTTAAAAAGAGACTCAAACCAAATTTTCTTGGGCATTTCAGGTATTAATTACTTATTTGATTAATTAACCAATTAGGATCTTCACATAATTCTGTGAGTAATGTACAACTCAATGGATAGGAGACTAAATCCGTCTTAATACCGTTTCCACAGTAAATTCTAACACTACCGAAAAAAGCATTATAAAGCAATTAAAAAGAAATAATTATAGTTTAATATTGTTTAAAAGCTAAATGAAATTTGCAGGCTTAAAAACAACTGTTTTTCTTCCACGAGGTTTATAGGGTCTTTTTCCTTATTCATCACTACGTAGAAAGCTAGGGTTGTTTTCTAGTTAGCCAGAATAATGCCCACGCTTAACATCTTCTCATGCTGTGCTGATATTAAGACGATTGACCATCGTTCTGCCTTTCTTTCTGTTAGTTGCTCTTAAGTCAATAAAGAATTCTTAGAAGAAAAAGGAGAGAAAGAGAAAGAAAAAAGAGAAAGAAAAGCAGCTACTGCAAAATATATATTTTATCACATACTATGGAATATCATCTTAAGAAGTGCCATTTGTCACTTACCAAGGCCTTTCATGTATAGTATAATACTGTTATGGTATGGGATGGTCTCTTATTTGAAATTGACAACAACCTCAGAAAGAAGAAAAGTTGTTCTGGTGTCTGGTGTTTCCCCCGCTCTGCGTAAGAGGTGGGAGAATCAAGGTTTAGAAAGACTAGGAGATTTGCCCAAAGTCACACGGCTAGGAATTGGCTTCGATTCCCACCCTAGAATCCAAACCCGTGGCAACTCCTCGCATAGCCGCCTCTCACCCAAGCACACCTCTATTAGCATTCTGGGGGTGCTCTGGGCTGTGGCTCCCCCTGCTGGCGCGCCACTGGGCTGCTAGGTTTGGTTGTTATGACGACCAAGGGCGAATAGCTGGGAAGGGAACGTATAAGGGCATTCGCGGAAAGCGCTCAGAAACCCAGGCCATAAGTGGAGTGAAGGAAGCTGTACACCGCGGAGTCACAGCTGGGGAGTTTGGTGGGCAGGACGGGCTTCCACCACTTCTGAAACGCCTGGGAAGCGTCGCGGCGGCGGCGAGCCTGGCAAAGAGCAGCCCTCTCACCTGCTCACTGCTCATGGCTGTGAGGACGCGCTGGCCTCACCGGCGCTTCTGGGTCGCTCCTGCCGCAGCACCCCCTAGAACGATAGAGGCTGCACGCCGGGACCTGCCGACGGTCTCAGCTCCCTCTGCGCCAGGGCCGTCTAGCGTCCCGGCAGCCTTTGTTGCTAAGCAACAGGCCCGCGCAGGTTCCATTTCCGGTTATCTGTTGCTTCTGGGGCTGGACCCGGAAGCTGGCGCGCGCTCCCGCAAGAGGAGCTTTCCTGGGCGCCCCTGCTAGGGTGGTGAGGTCTAAAGTGTGTGTTGAACAACCAAGGACACTAGGTGGGCCCCTCCAATATCCTCTGATTACTGAAGTAGATCCTCACACTTCCGCACCCTCCTTCTAACTGAGCTGGGTGCCCGGGACCGCTGCCTTAACCCCTCAGAGGTCTCGGAGAAACACCGGAATGAAATGATTACAAATTTCATTGCTAATGTGGGCGAGTGGAATAATGAGAACAAAGCATGCAAAGGCAGGAGCCAGTAAACACCTTTCATCATTCATGTGCTTCCAACCCCTGTGCTGTTGACTCTTCTCACACTCTAGAAAACTATCCTTTGGAAGAATACCAGTAAAGGAAACTTCCAACAATTCTTGAAACCAACATTCACAGATGGTTTACTACATGAAAAGTGGTGTGCTAAGCCCAGATGTGACCAAGACATAATTCTTTAGCCACAGGCTAGGGGGGTGTCCAAGCAAGCACTTAGCATGTAGTGGAGACGGTGCTAGGAATGGCAGTCCTCAGGGAGAACATAAAGCACCAGCTATTTTTCTCACGGAGGGTATGGAAGGGATGTGGAAGCTGAAATGTGAAGGAACAAGAAATGCCAGGCGAAGAATGCCAGGCAAAAAGCAGGTCACATACAAAGACCTGAGACAAGAGAGCATAGCTATTGGAAGTAGTGAAAATGGTTCTGAAAGGTTGACGGAGTAGCTTTGGGTAAAGGGGATTGGAGCCAGTCTAGAGATGAAGCTGAGGTGATAAGCAGGTGGTATATCTTAAAGGACCCTATAAAAGGGCAGGAGTTTGGATGTCAAAAGCAACTGACCTCCACTGAAAAGTTTTATGCTAAGAAATGGCAGAATTCCATCCTGAAATTAACGAGGAACCTCAAGTGGTCATAAATAGCCAAAACAATCTTGAAATTGAAGAATAAAGTTGGAGTACTTACACCCTTTTTTTTTTTTTTTTTTTTTGAGACGGAGTCTTGCTCTGTCGCTCGGGCTGGAGTGCAGTGGCTGGATCTCAGCTCACTGCAAGCTCCGCCTCCCAGGTTTACGCCATTCTCCTGCCTCAGCCTCCCGAGTAGCTGGGACTACAGGCGCCCGCCACCTCGCCCAGCTAGTTTTTTGTATTTTTTAGTAGAGACGGGGTTTCACCGTGTTAGCCAGGATGGTCTCGATCTCCTGACCTCCTGATCTGCCCCTCTCGGCCTCCCAAAGTGCTGGGATTACAGGCTTGAGCCACCGCGCCCGGCCTCACATTTCTTGATTTCAGAACTTACTACAAAACTATAGTGACCTTAACAATTTATTTTCAACAAATGATGTTGGGAAAACTAAATGTCCATATGCAGAAAAAATGCAGTTGGACCTTTACCTAAAATCATTATATACAAAATTATCTCAAAATTGATCAAAGATGTAACTGTAAGGTCTTAAACTATAAAACTCTTAGAAGAAAACTTAGAAGAACCGCTTCACGACACCGGATTTGGCAGTGATTTCTTGGACATGACACCAAAACGACAAAGAAAAAATAGACAATTCGGTTGCATCACAATAAAAAACCTTTGTGCATCAAAGAATACTCTCATCAGTAAAAAGACAGTCCACACAGGCCGGGTGCGGTGGCTCACGCCTGTAATCCCAGCACTTTGGAAGGCCAAGGCGGGTGGATCACGAAGTCAGGAGATCGAGACCATTCTGCCTAACACGGTGAAACCCCATCTCTACTAAAAATACAACAACAACAACAACAACAACAAATAGCCAGGCGCGGTGGCGGGCACCTGTAGTGCCAGCTACTCAGGAGGCTGAGGCAGGAGAATAGCATGAACCCGGGAGGGGGAGGTTGCAGTGAGCTGAGATCGTGCACTGCATTCCAGCCTGGGCAATAGAGTGAGACTCCATCTCAAAAAAAAAAAAAAAAAAATCCACAGAATGGAAGCAAATATTTGCAAATCTGATGAAGGATTAATGTACAGAATATTAACAAGTGTTAATGAGGATGTAGAGAAATTGGAACTCTTGTGCACCACTGCTGAGAATGTAAAATGGTGCAGCTGGTATGGAAAATAGTATGGCAGTTCCTCCAAAAATTAAAATAGAAATACCTTATGATCCAACAATTCCACTTCTGGTACAAATCCAAAGAAGTGAAAGCTGGGACACAAACATATTTATATGCTCATATTTATAGCAGCATTATTCACAATAGTCAAAAGGTGAAGCAACCCAAATGTCCCTTGATAGACAAATGCATAAACAAAATGTAGCATATACATTCAGCCTTTTAAAAAGGAAGGAAATTCTGACACATTGCCACATCTCTACATCTGCTACAACATAGATAAAACTTGAAGACATTATGACAACTGAAATTGGCCAGTCACAAAATAAAAAAAATACGGTATGATTCCACTCATCTGAGATAGGTAGAGTAACCAAATGTATATAGAAAGAAATTAGAATGGTGGTTGCCAGGGACTGGAAGAGGGAGGGCCAAGAAAGGGAATGAGGGAATTAATGTTTAATGGGTACAGAGTTTCAATTATGCAAGATGAAAAAAAATTTGAAGATGAATGGTGGTGATGGTTGTACCACAATGTGAATGGACTTCATGCTGCTGAATCGTACACTTGACAATGATTAGAATGGTAAATTTTATGCTATATATGTTTTACCATAATTTTAGAAATTTGTTATAAATATCCTTAAAATAAGAGGAGGAAAACTGAAGCCAAAAATAAAGAAGGAAAAATGACAGGAACATATTCCCATTTTACAGAAACCACCCTAATTTCAGCATAGTAGAAGGATAGGAGGTAGGTGGGACTGGCAGTAACAGAGAGACCTGTTAGAAGACTATTACAAGAGTACAGTGAGGGATGAGGATGGCTGGAATTGAGCCAATGACAGTAGGAATGGAGCAGATACATTCAAGAGATATGCGGGAGATGACTTCATTAAGTAGTAGATGTTTAAAGTAAAAGTAGGTTGAGGATCATTTTACTGCTTTGGATACCTGAATGGATGGTGGTATTATTCACTGAGTAAAAAAAAAGGAGAAGAATAAACAGGCTTTACAGAGAAAGTGATGAGTCCAGCATTGGGCACGTTGAGTGTGAGATAGCTGTAGGACATGGAAGTGTGTATATGGCTGGTAGACATTGCACATATTGGTCAGAGCTCAGAAGATAATTCCTGGGCTAAGGACATGGATCTGAAGCTAACATATAAATGACATCTGAATCCATGAGCATACATGAAATGGTTTGAGGGGTGTGTAGGGACAGAACAGCAAGGAACCTAGTAAAGAAAAAACTAAAACCTAAACACTGACAATCTTTATGAACTGGATAGAGGGGGATCCTGCAAAGAAAACTGAGAAAAAGTTAGCTAGAGATAACAGGGAACTCAGAGTATAGAATCATAGAAACCAAGAAAAACAATATTTCAGGAAAAAGAATATAGAGAACAGTATCAAAAGCTTCTGACAATATGTAATCTAAGGATTTAAAGGTATCCATTGGATAGAGTGCCAAATAAGTCATTGGTGAATGTGGCAAAGGAGTTTCAGTACAATGCAGTGGGAGGATTTGGGGCCAGATTCCAGAGGCTGAAGAGTGAAAGGAGGGAGACCACCAGAATAGACAATCTTCAGAAAGTTTAGGTTATGAACAAGAGAGAGAGACTGGGGACTAAAAGGATTCAGGGAGAGAGGCACTATATTTTTTCAAATAGAAAAGTTTTGTTTGTGTTTAAATGCAAATAGGAAGAGAGAAGATGAAGACAGAGAAAAAAGTAAAAAGAGATAGGATTAATTTCACACGGAGAGATCTTGTAAGAACACCTTGTAAAAGGAAGGAGGAGGAAGGATGAGTGGAAATATGGGTGTTTAAAGCTTGCTTGTGTGTAGTTGGGGACATTCCTCCCCCCCCAAAAAAAAATGAATTTTATTTTCTCTGTGGTATAGAAAGCAAAATCACCTTCCAAGAATGAAAGGAAAGGTAGGAGGCAGGGGATGGTCAAAAATTTGAGGAGGAAGAAGTTTCAATAACTATGTGGCAGAAATGGAGAGAGAACAAAAGTGATTAAATAGAGGAAAAGCTTAGCTGAAATTGAAGCCTCTGAATCAGCGCCAGCGACAATTCACTTGGCTCTGCACCCCTTTCCAAAGGTCTTCAACACACCAGACTTAGGTTCAGAGAAGACAAACACACAGTGTCTTTCCCAGGCTGGTATAACAGGAGGACAGAGCAAGAGAATGAAGAATCTGATAAGAGTGAAGTTGAAATAAAAAATCACAGAAACTAAAATAATGAGTAGAGGAAGAAAGGACTGTTAAATACGGAGAAAGGGAATGGGATGGAGAGGGTCTCAGAGAGGGTGACATAGTGGGAGAAACTAACTCTCAAAACACAAAGAGAAGGAGTGAGGGTATTGTCTCTGTGATTTCAGAAGTGGAGCAATTCCAGGTGTTGAGAATGTCCCCAGTGTGCCCACAGAAGTGGGGACTGAAGTGAAGGACTTTGCCATAGAAGGTCAAGGAACTAAGTTCCTCAAGCTATGGCTGTTCCCATGGATGCTGAAGTAGCAGAGTGGAGGGGAGAACTGTGAGCCAATGTCTTCAACAAATGAAGCTGAGTCAAGGAGAGGAGATGCTATGAGCCTAAGATTCGTAGGAATTCATAGTGGAAAACAGAAGATAAATGTTGCAGACCCCATCTCCCAAATTTGAAAGAATGGAAAAGCCTACACAGAAACAGGCTCGAGGAAGAGACAAATTTCATTAAAGACCTGGAGATAAGAATAGAGTTCTGAGAATGGGTTGAAGCCCTAGTTTTGTTTCATAGCCTAAGGGTACAGTGATAAGATTTGAAAGCCAGTAAAGTACTAGGGGGTTCAG